GCCACAAGTGTGCAAGACAAAAAGAGGGGTCAGCTGTCGCTCGGTCCCCCTCCAAGGACAGAGATCTGAGCCTCCAACACACACATATATACATACAGCAATGCGGACATGCAGGCCGGTACACAGCTGTACACGTAAGGCTGGCACAACACACACTGCTGCTGCATGGCACATCAAGCTGGCACTAAACTGACATATATATATATATACACAGCCTGGCACGGCGTAGTGTAGCGTCGCTAAAAGGCAGTTTTTTTTTCCCCCCTCCCCTCCCCTCCCCTCCGGAATACCCAATACGATCAACAGGAGGCGGGACAAGATAATTTGTTCGCTGGTCTCATCTGTGAAATGACCTGCAAAAGAGGAACGAATATATAATCAGCAAAGTGAACCTGTCACCAATGCAACACGTTCATTTCAGATCCAAACAATGCACACTTCATTGCATCTCCAAGATGTCTGGGGGGCTTGCTGTAGGCTTGGCGTTCTGCCTAAGAAAAAGGATCGCCCTTCTTTAAAATCCTTGCCTCTGTGGCCACTTTACTTGGTACACTTGCTCATTAAAGCAAACTGCAAATCATATTCCGCAACTTAAGAAGTAAAGACGAGTAAAGTGGACCTAGAGTCAAATATTGTTGTTTTACATACTAACTGCATGCAGGCCAAGTAATGTAAAGTACCATTTAGGTATTTAGTACCTCATAGAGCTCAGAAGGGGGCATGCGGATAGCAGGGGAAAGCGTTAGAGATGAGCTCATTAGTTTGCTGCTTCTCCATGCACTGTCCAGTCACAGGCTGGGGGACGGACAAGACCTGCAAAGTTACTGAACTGCAGCAGAGAAACAATGAGGTCTCCTCTCCTGCCAGGCAAGAGTGTGAGGTGGAAGGGCTGTGAAAATCTCAGGACAGCATGGGGAGAAAAACAAATCCTTTGGCTGATATAAAAGCTCCCCATATTAATTTACCCTTTTGCCTGGAGTTAAAGCAGGGAGAGCCAAACTCTGTCATGCACTTTCCCCTGCAATCAGCATGCCCCCTTATGAGCACTGCGAGGTAATAAATACCTAAATGGTTTACCTTCACATTACTTGGCCTGCATGAAAAATAAAAGCCAGCGTAACGGTCCGTACACCACACTTCACAGCCCTGCAATCTGCAATGAGCACAATGTTCACAAATGGAGAGTACTCACTGGTCAGCACAATCACATGACCCACAGACCAGTAAGAAGTGCTTCTGAGCCGGGGACCAGGTCCTGGAAGAAGGAAGCACTCCTTAGCGCAGTAATGTGACTGTGCTGACCAATGAGCGCTTGCCACTTGCACGTATTAGGTTTTTACAGACTGCAGGGCTGTTAATTGTGCGGTGTACAGACCGCTATACCAGCTGGTGGGGGCATCACACAGGTAAGTGTATCAGGGATGGGGGGATAGAGGAGTGCCGTGGTTAAGTTTATTTTTTCACGTTTTGTTAAAAAAAAAAGTGAAATGACCTGCGACGGACCCCCGTACTCAGGATGAGTATGTCCGCCGCTGTCTTCTTCCTTGCTGAGGAGATATTGGAACCTGAAGATCCTTAGCTCCCAGTTTCCCCAGTCACTAGCCAAGGCTTGAGTGTAGGGTAAACAAACTCTGATTTATTGAGCAACTGCACAAACTTTTATACAGCAAGTGATGAAATCAGAATATAATCCCATCACATCCCCCCTCCCCTCATAGGACCATCGGTCTGCTCAACACCACAGGTGTCCACCTGCTAACGAACTCCAGACGGCCATAGCAGGAGCCTGGCCAGAATGTCATTGTTCTGAGCTCCCTCAGAGAACAATGGGAGATAACGAGGGATGGTGCTGATAGTCTTTCCATAACCAGGTCACAGCATAACGCACTCAAACACAACTCAACCCCAATACACATTTAACTCATAAACTGATCACCGTGTCGTCACATGACCCTTTTAGCTTCAAAGAGCTTTTTCTAAAGACTGTAAATATCCTTTAACCAGATGTGAAAGCGGACTACACGGCCGAGAAACATATTCAAAAAGTCACAACACCAATTAGAAAAGATGAACCTGAGAAACTCTCACCTGTCATTCGTCAATGCCAATGGAGCAGGAGTCGGGCCCCAGCGCTGTCAGAAGAGAAGAGACAACAAGTTACAGAAGCCTGTGCAGTGCAGCGGACACATCACAGAATACAGACGCCATTAACTATAGTCAGGGAGTGACAACCTTCCCCTCCGCAGAGAAACTCGGAAATATGAAGCTCTTTAACATGCAAATATTGAGTTTTGC